GACCCCATAGCCATTCCAAAATTTTGTTGATAAAAATTGTCATTGTATTGAAAGTAAGTTGACTTTACACATATTGTTAAAAGTTCAATAATGGTTCAATAATGCTTAGTTGTGTGCGTTCTTTAAGATTGGTGTCATTTTGTAATTTTTTAAAGTTATTTCTTTTTATTTCATTATCAATCTGTTACCATATATTATTATTTTTTATTATCAATCTGTAATAAAAGAGGTGAGGAAATTCTGATTATTCTGATGATTCTGAAATTACTGATTGTTTAACGACGAACAGATAATGAAGTTTTGTTGACCACTTTGAAGGATTTGGGCTCATTTTTGCGATTTAATGCCCCGATTTAAACAACTTCTAACTGGATTAATTGAAACTTGCCAACAGTGTTTTGAACGAAAAATAGCCAAAACTCGAGGGCTTTGACGTTGAAAATTTCCACTTAAACGTTCGCCAGCGAGCTTCGGTCAGCTTTTATCGGGTTTCCGGGGGCCCTTTTAGCCGAGCGGGAAAGTTTAAAACAAAAGCCCGAATCAAAGCATAGCGACTAATCCTTTGGCTGGAAGTTAAATTGAAGATTTCGTCCAGCTTTTGGCTGGACTATTTAGATTATTTCGTCGTTCATAAGGCATCCTCAATGAATTCGCTTCATTATGTTGGGTGGCACTTTGGCCCGAAACCGCACTTGATTGATAGCTGGATTATTAACGGATTTCCTTGCGCTGTTCAGCGATGGCCATTAATTATTTTTCAATTATAATCTGACAGCGTTTAAGTAAAATGTTAATTGGAAATTACGAAAGTTCAACCGCAATCTTAGAAACTTTGCGTTGGGAATTTATGCGCAAAATGTCGCAGATGACTTTATCTAAGCGCATTATGATGAAGAAATCATCAGCAAAAGTACCGATTAATCGCTGCAGCCAACCGGTTCCCACAAGCGTTTTTAAACGCCTGAATGCCATGAAGACTAATCGGGCTGTCCAACCAAAGAAATGGAAGATGCCATTCTTGTCGACTGAACAATCGTTAAACGTTGCCTCTTCACCTGGCAGGTGAACTGAGGAACTCAACATCACTCAAACCCTGTCAAAACAATGTCCAAACCGCAAAAGCCACCCGACAATGTTTAGCTGGCTTGGCAAAGAACCGGAACTGCACCCGGAAGTCTACGGCAATGTGGTGGACGGCCTCAAAAGCATCTACAAGAGTAAGCTGGTTCCTCTGGAACAGCACTATTTGTTCAACGAGTTCCATTCGCCTCCGCTCAGCGATGCGGACTTTGACGCTCAGCCGCTGATTCTTTTGGTAAGCGCCGAATAAAGGCAGGATTATTCATTATGCTGCCGGTTTCAGGTCGGGCAATATTCCACCGGGAAAACCACTTTTATTAGGTATCTGCTGGAGAGGGACTTTCCCGGCATGCGGATCGGGCCGGAACCGACCACTGACAAATTTATTGCGGTCATGTACGGTGAGTATGCTTAGAGGCGTAATTTTTTAAAAAAAGAGACCGATTTTTTGTGCAACTGTAAAATTGGGCTCCAGGAAGACAAATTAAACCGTGTCTACCCCTTCCGAACCTATAAATCTTTTATTCGGACTTCCAGTGTCTTAAAGAGATGTTTTTATCACAACGTTTCGGTTGGTAGTATATCCAATCGCTTTCAGGCGACGACCAAGTCTGAATAAACCATTCAATAATGTCTGTCGATAAATTTTAAATTTCGCCGAAGTTCACCTCAGTTAAATCAACTGTTTTTCTTAACATGTTTTTAGTCATTCATTTTTCAAATCAGAGCTGTTGAAATCAGTGAAGGCGATTTAACGGAATCCGCTACTCACTGAAAAAAATTGTCAGAATTGATCCAATTTCTCGATTACAATCCAGCTTCCAAACTTCAAAATTAACTTTAAAACTCAGTTGACTTTTTTTTAATTAAGTTTTTCACACCTGAGTAGTTAAAGTCGCATTCGACTGTTTGAGGCTCATCTTCAAAATGTTGTAAAACTACTCCCAAATTCTCTATTAAATTGCAACTTTCCAGGGTTTTAGAGCCGGTTTTTCTCTTCTAAAGCCTGCCAAAGCCATTCCTCTAGCTTAACCAGTTTCTGGGAAATGATTTTTTTTAAACGCAACTACAACTTTCAACACAGTCAATTCTTTCTCTCTTTCTACGCAAAAATCGCATTATATTTTGGTTTTACTTAAAATACTGGTTACGATATTCTTATCTTTCCTAGGTCTCAGTCAAAGTGTGAAGTAAAAATTTTGAAACATCGTTTATTTCATTATGTTTCGCCGAGCCAACAGCGCCATCATCAGATTTAAAATGTACACAAACTCATTATTGGTAAAAACGAAAGTCCTTTTAGGTTTTTGCCTTCTTGAAAACCTTTTCGAGAAAGTACACGCAGTCAGGAAAATAAATCAAATCTTCTTAAAATACTGGCAATCTTCAGGTATTTTCTGTGGAAAATTATGATAATTTTTTTTGGAACACTCGCCTCCTTAACCGCTTTGCAAAAATGTTTGGAAAACTTTCTGTAGCTTCAAATTATGGACAAAACCCTAATAATTAATTGTGGGTATTGTTCCAAAAATATTTCCCCGAACTGAAAAAGCGAAAGTTTATAATCATTTATTTGGAAAACTCTTGGAAACTGGAGTTTCTTCACTTTTAAGTCAATATGTCTAAATAACACTGTCTCTAAACAGAAAAACCGCGTTTTTGTTAACGTTTTACTGTAAAATACTGGGAAACTGATTTGACAAGAAAACTTGTCGATTTTTTTTGGACTCAGTTCTGTTGCTGGACAAATCTAGATAACTTTTGTTGTTTGAACAACGTAGTAAAAAGTTACTCATAAAAAATGTTACTAACCCATTTTTGATCTGAAAACTCCAGTCGCGGGTCTCGTAAAGCTTTAACAAATTATAACTCATTAACCGATGAGTTATAACTGGTTAACTCAACGAGCGGCAACAACTCAATAGCGCAGCTCAACACAGTGTTACCCAGGCCTAATTTCAGGGAGTTCCTGGTTCGTAAACCTTCAACTTTTGCGAGATTTAAAACCCTTCTTCTTCTCAAAGGCAGAGGCTGAAAACCTTTGAAGATACGCCCAACCAAAACTTCGTGATAAAAACACCCTCCAAATAAACCATGCAATGACGGGCTGTTTCAATCATCCCCTTTTTGAGTGCAGGCTTTTGGGGGGCGAATAGGTCTGAAAGCTTGTCCAGGGCCTGAGATTAACACATCTCAAGCTCTGTCCTTTGTTTGTTACATATATTTGATGCGAAGGCGACAAAGAGGGCGTGATACCCGGCAATGCTCTTGTGGTGGATCCAAAGAAGCAATTCCGGCCCCTATCAGCCTTTGGTAACGCCTTCCTCAACCGCTTCCAATGTTCCCTGGTCAAATCGCCAGTTCTAAAAGGAATGACCATCATCGACACTCCAGGCATTCTAGCCGGTAGAAGTAAAACACTTTAACAGGCTCCAAAGATGATTTTTTGCGATTATCCAGGCGAGAAACAGCGAATCGATCGCGGCTATGACTTTACTGGCGTTCTGGAGTGGTTCGCTGAAAGAGTGGATCGGATTATTTTGCTGTTTGATGCCCACAAGCTGGATATTTCTGATGAATTCCGCCGGTCGATCGAAGCGATCCGAAGCCACGACGACAAAATCCGCATTATCCTGAACAAAGTTTGCTCACTATTTCCCTTCTGGATATGCAATGGTTTGATATCGCTGTCCCTTCCTAGGCTGACATGGTGGATCAGCAGCAGCTAATGAGAGTGTATGGCGCCCTCATGTGGTCCTTGGGCAAAGTGCTGCAAACTCCCGAAGTAGTTCGCGTCTTCACCGGCTCATTCTGGAACGAGCCGTTAAGGTGGGTGAATTTTGACGTCAGATTCATTCATCATCAGGCAAAACCAGTTAACAAAACTGTCCATTTCGCCGCTCGCCACCACTGAAACCATCAATTACACTTTTATTTACGGTTCGCGGGAAATAAACTTGCCGAAAGGACGCTGATGATGGACGAGCGCCAACTTTTCCCATATCAATTAATTGAAATCAATCAATCGCTCAGGACCGCATTGATTAATTAGCGGCCCGTTTCCGCGATAACAATCCTCCACTCTGCAGATGCGACACTAACCGGAAGCTGTTCGAAGACGAGACGCAGGATCTGTTCAGCGACTTTCAAAGTTTGCCGAAGAACTCGGCGCTGCGCAAGCTGAACGACCTGATAAAAAGGGCGCGACTGGCCAAGATGCACGCGCTGATCATTGCAGAGCTGAAGAAGGAGATGCCGATGTTCGGCAAGGAGAGCAAGAAGAAGGACCTGATCAGGAACCTGCAGGTGGTTTACGAACGGATCAGGCAGGAGCAGCAGATTTCGGCCAGCGACTTTCCGGACATCGGACGCATGCAGGACATGTTGGTGAAATATGATTTCAGCAAGTTTCACTCGCATAAACCGAAGCTACTGGAGGATGTGGACCTGATGTTAAGTGAAGATATTTCGAAGCTGATGGCCATGATTCCGCACGATTCCAGCCCTCCTTCCTTCCTTGAGGTGAGTAGTTTTCTATCTAATCTGCTCACTGAAGTTTTTCACTCAATTTGGCCAAAACACTTTCCTCCCTGGACTCTTGAATGGTCTCTGATAAAATTTTCCTCCCATTTCACTGAAGAGCCACTTGATTAGGCTCAATCGGAAACTAAAATCGATCGAAAACCGGCCTGCTTTTTCAGGTGCGTGGCGGGGCATTCGAAACAGTTGAAGATAAAATGACCCCATTCGGCTACAAATGCGGAGAGGGTTGCAATGCGGGCTTTGGGGAGCCGGAGTGGATCGTGAACAAGGAAAGAGCCTCGTATGACGCGCTGTTTGACAACCTCCAGCCCTGTGAGGGCCGATTGTCTGGGGCTGCAGTCAAGGTGGGTTTGACAGTGAGGTTGGAAGGGTTGAGGTTCAAATGGTTGGTTAGGGGGAATTCATGAAATCCAAGCTGCCCAATCCAGTGCTGGCGAAAATCTGGAAACTCGCCGACGTGGACATGGATGGACAGCTGGATAAGGACGAGTTTGCTTTGGGGATGCATTTGATCAATGTGAAGCTGAATGGAGGTGAAATTCCCCTGCAGCTGCCCGAGCACTTGATTCCTCCCAAGAAGAAAGACAAAGTACGTACGCTGATTATACTTGAAGTTGTTTTTTGAAATTTTTCGTTGTGTTCCAGTGGGCAAAGCAGGAAAAGTACAAAAACAACGACACAGATCGGGACTCTTAAGTAAAAATAAAGAAATTTAATTATTGATACTCGACGTGTTATTAAAGTGTATTAGCCCGATTGTCCAATCCACTAGCGTGTCCTAATGCCAAGAATGGCCAGCCCTTCATATATAAATTTCTGATGTTTCCATTAACTATTTAACCGGCTCGATCGATCAGGAAACCTGAATACATGCCCTGATATTATTACAAAGGAAACTTCTATTATTCCCTGAAGTTCTGCAGAAAATGTTGGGAGGCAAAAGAATGCTCAAAACCATGTCAGGAGAATGACAGTAACCAAACAATCCTTAAAGTGGTTTGTCTAAATATGATTAGGCTCCGCCCAAAGGCGGGGCTTGGGATTTCAAGCCATATTTCGCTTCAAAAGTGTTTTTTCTTTTCAAAATCATAGTTTATTGATTGCATATAACACATTCTATTCTACGCTTGCCTTTTCAAAGAAAATTTTGGATGTTTTTTTTGTATTTAAATTGCGTGTTTTCTACTTTTTAAATAAACAGTTTAACGCAAAAACTAACGTTGAGGTTAATTCCGCCCAGGCCCTTATAAAACAATATGCGAAATATGCAATAAAATAAGGAGAAAATAAAGAAAATTATCACAAAATCTAGCGCAAAAAGCCACGCCCGTGGGTTTCCTGCAAATATTTTTTCTCTCTCCTTTGCGGTTTTGGGCTCGAAAGTTCGTTTGAGTTTTCTTGCAAAAATGCGCAGTTTTCTTTGAGCGTGAGTGAACTTATTGAGTCAAATGAGTAAATTTTTCTATTTGAGTTGGAAGGTTTCAGTCAAAATCAAACTTCTAAGGCCAGAAGAAGTTTCCGTTACTATATGACTCCGCCTAGGGGCGTGGCTAACAAACGGCATGGTGCGAACTCCGCCCAACAATTGTGCAAACTCCGCCCAGAGGCGGGACTAATTACAAGACTTTGATTGCTTGTTCGTAACTAGTTTTTTCAGAACATTTCCGTATTTTTCGTTGAAAATCCAATTTCAGTGTCATCGGCCCTTTTCCACAAGGTAAAATTTAACAAACTCCGCCTATGGACGTGGGTACCATAAGACTAAAGTACTTTTGTTTGTAAAAACTGCATTTTCTAGCCAACCCAAATGACGCACTTTATAACTCCGCCCAGAGGCGTATTCTTACATCTAAAGTAAACATTTCCAAGTAATTAAAACTGAGAAAAAACTTATCAGGCAAAACTGGACGACGTGCGGAGCAAAGAACCGATGCAAAACCGCCTGCTGGTACCATTCTAGTAAATTTGATGTATTCCTGGTCAATTAGGCGCGTCCAAACCCAGTCAAATGCTGGGATTTTTTCAAGAAAACCGCGTCCATAAAACCGTTTTATGGCGTCATCACTGTCCGCTAACAGGACAGGCCTCATTAAAATCGCAAAAATACAGCCCTCTTAAACAGAGAAAAGATGCAGATTATCATCTCGATGCACATGCGAGGCTACCGTTTAATATTCTCCTGCAGATGCATGTTAAAAGGTCCAATATATGGGAAGGAAAGGATCATTTCATTCCAATCTAGCGGCTTTTATGGGGGGTTTTTAGTGTCGTTTGTTTGAGCCAAAAGCCCAGGAACTAATCGACTTTGGAAATAGTTTCAACTTGCACGGGTTTTCTAATTTGTCTGCAAGAAACTGCAGGAATCCAAAAATAGCCAAACAACTGCTGCTGACAGAGCTTCCGAAAGTAATTATTTTTAAAAATAACTCCTGCTGGACCAACCAGTGGCGGAATCTGCCACATGTTCGTCTACAAAACACGAAAGAGTGAAAAATGGGCTGTTGGCTGTTTGGGCCGCCACTGGCTAAATCCACGTGTTTCTAAACCAGTAAAAGGTGCACACAATTAGTCAAGAGACGAGAGGCCTCGAGTGGCTTTCGGTGTTGATTAGCCTTGCCTCTAAAAGGGAGGAAATGAGGAATAATGATCTGTGGCAACTGGCAAAACACATTGAGACCCGGATTTTTCCTGGGTAAAATCAGGCTAAAAAACACCCATCAACAGTGTTTAACTCTCGAGGCACCCATAAATTTAATTTTTATAAAAATGAATTCCAGAGACACCAAGACCTAAATCAGAAACTCCTCTGGCTGCTAAGCACGCAAAGCATAAACAAGGGTGGCAGGTGTCGCGGACATGTTAATATTGCCGGTACAAAAATGTAAGTGGGCTCGTTTAGATAAAAAAATAGCTCAGCATACAGATGCGCTTCTTACATCTGCCCATCTACAGGCAAATTATTGCAGAGTGTTATAAAACAGCGGCAGGTTGGAGTTGTGTTAAACCCACTATAAAGCAAAAGTGGAGCGCTTTGTGTCGGGTTTGTCTCGCGAAATCGACGATATTTAGACAAAATATATTCGTATGTGAAGTAGATCCGCCCAGAGGCGTGGCGTATATTACAGATTTTTTGGGATGAACTAAAAAATTTCGAATCAAAACGCAAATTTGCCAGATATTTTCGTGTCAAATTTAGATTCCTTATTTGGACTTGCCGTAGATTGGCCACATTGACTAATTCTTTTTAAGTATCGAGTTTTTTTGCCGACTTTTGTCTACATAACTATCCATTGGACCTTTAAACCAATTCAACCTAACACCTTGTGCATTAGCGCCGCCTAGGGGCGTGGTTAAGTTTAATGCTTAACCCCTCTCAYCATAAAAAAGAATTGCTCTCGCCRTAAAGTTTTTTTTAAATTTTGAAACCAGAGTGCACCTTTGAAGATGTYTTTTTGTTTCAATTAGCTTTTTTTTCATTGAAGTTGCKATTTTTTTTTGACACTGCACAAGTTAAGCTCCGCCTAGAGGCGTGGCTTATTMTAACGCTTAAATTTGCTGTTTGGTTTCTCGAGTCATTCAAAATGCTTCGATGCACTAAAAACGCAAAAACGGTTATAGCAAATWAACAAATATTGRATTTAAATTACTACTGTTCCTSKTTAAATCGGCGATATTTGTACAATTGCTTTTTCTTAACCRGGTTAAACGGAATCATCTCGTTTGGCTCCGCCTAGAGGCGTGGCTTGTATTAAAGCTTAAGCTCTCTCATTGCACCGARTGTAGTTTTGAAAATGTTTTTGTTTAAATTTACKTTTTTGAAATTGAAATGATGATAATTGTTYCAGCTAAAGTGCAGCAGWTRAAGTTCCGCCTAGAGGCGYGGCTTATTCTAGCYCTAAAATTTGCTGTTTTGTTTCTCAAGTAATCAAAACTTTTCCATGCATACAAAATGTAAAAACTTTCGTAAAAAATTAACAATTTTTGTATTTAATTGACGGTTTATTCGTTTAAATTGGCGATATTTGWACACTTGATTTCTCTTTGGTAAAACCAGCTAAACTKAACTTTYCACTTTAGCTCGCGTGGAGGMGTGGCTTATATTTAAGTTTTATCTCTCACATCTCTAAGAAAACATGTTGTTTTTTATTGAAAGTTGAAAACAGAAAGCAATTTTGCACGGTTAATTATTTTTCGCTTAAATTTGCTTTCTGTCTCATTGAAATTGCGATAATTTTTTCATCTACACTGAACACGTTTAMGTCCGCCTAGAGSCGTGGCTTATATGTATTGAAGCTTAATAATTCTATTATRAAATAAAATTGCTGCAATATCCATTKTTTACTTGAAATTTGAAACCAGAATGCACATTTGAGGATGTTTCAGTTTAAATTTTCTAAAACGCAATTTTAATGAGTATAAGCTATTGAATTTGCCATTTTTTTCCATCTACACTGCACACGGTCAAGCTCCGCCTAGAGGCGTGGCTTATTCAAACGTCCAAATCTGCGGTTTGGTTTGTCAAGTAATTCAAAACGCTTCCATACACAAAAAACGCCACGGTTTCACGGTCTTTTCTGTTTAAATTATTTCCTAAAGCGGTATTTCGATAGCAGTAGAAAGATACTTTTCTAGTCCCGGCTAGGGGCGTGGCTAACTACTTGAGCACCATCTTGCTCCAATTGAAATGCGCATTTCCCCACCACTAACCTCTATACTAACTCTTCACTTGTGTGTGTTTGTCGCAATTTTTGCGTAAAATCGCTTCTAATTAAACTCCGCCTAAAGGCGCAGATAATGAAAAACTTTAATTTGCATGCAAAACCATTAACCAACAAGAAAATAACCGATGTTTTGCTTGTTCCGCCACTGTTCGCATAACAGCTAGACAAGAAACGGGTTTTGAATGGGGGAGGGCCCCCCAATAGCGAGCGAACACTGGGAACTAAGGAAACAATTAAAAAATAACAAAAAGCCCGGTAATTTGGCCCTTAATTGCCTTTGTTTGGCTGCGGGCTGGATTTTTCCACGGTCCTGCGGTCCCTGAAGACGTTGGTTCGGAAAGCGATTCGTTTCAATTAGCGTCCAGGACGATTTCACTGAGCTGAAGAGGATAATTGCTACTCGCATGGACAAGTCGTGGATGAAAAACTGCTTCCATTAGCGGTTTGAAGATGGATTTTTCGTTTTTTTGGATTTCTGATCAGAGCTGATTGAGCTGGGAAATTATGCAGCTACAATTCGCGGGCTAATGTTGTTTTTCCTTTACCAGTTCCGGCACGTGTTAAGTTTATTTTAGTTCTAATTCCCCTGTTTTATGGTAATCGGAGAAACCGAGCAGAAAATGGGAAATCAACCCGGCAGTGTTATTACAGAGTTCGGTTCGGGTTCGGCTCACGATGCATCTCTTTATTTTCCGGCCTTAAAGTTTCCGCTTTGATTGGTCATTAGCAAATGAAGGCGCACGCCGCCCCCTTTCCACCAACTGTTAACAACAATCACGGATTTCCTATTACGCGAAAGGGTGGAACTTTCCCCAGGAAAAATAATCGAATCGGCACTGAAACTTGTACGCCGGAAATTAGGATTGAAAGGACCGGTCACGCGATACAAGGCGACACGCAAAGAAAATCCATAGAATATTTTCAATTGCCATCGAATTTTCCTCTATTCCAGGGCAGCTGAATTATGAACGTCTTGAACGCATAAATCATGCAGATGCACCGAACTAGTGGAGGAAACCTCTAGACTCAATTCATAAACTAGCTGTAAAGAGTTCAAAGTAGTTGAGCAAATTTCCCATTTTGAAACCCGCCTAATAACTCTTTGGTGTCACAAAACAAAGAAACAGCAGGAAGTTTGATTTCCAGCATCTTCTGCAGTGCGTTCAAGTTGCCATAAATCCTGCGGGCCATAAATTAGGACGAGCGATCGAACAGCGCGTCGAGAAAGTCCATTTAAAAGATAAAACATAAACAAACCATTATTTGTAGAGCAACGGCGAACAAGACAAGATCTAGTCACGAAACGTCGGTGTTGATTTTCCTTTTTCCAAGTCGGTTGTGTGTTGTTTTAACGGCACAACCGAAGACCTGTGGGCTTTTTCAGGAAAATATTGGTGGTTTTATTTTCGCGCCGCGTTGTAAGCTCTGTGTTGTTTAAGTGGAAACTCGTGTCGACAGGTTTGGCGTTAAAAAGCCCATTTTTCCTGCCGAATGCCGCCTCTCCAAAGGTTTTTGCAAAGTCACGTAAGGGTTGAAAATGGGGAATTTACTGCACTTACCGAAAACCACCACTTGGGATGAGGGCGCTGTTCTTTTAGCAGCGATATTTTCGGCTACGCAGGTGTAGTTGCCAGTATCCTGCGCCCGCGCCTCACTAATCAGCAGGTGACCCTCAGTGGTGACCAAAACCGAGCTATCTGATTGGAGCATTTGGGTTCCACGTAGCCAATAAACTCTGGGCGGCGGCATCCCTTGAGGAGCAATGCATTTGAGCTCTGCATGATGACCCAACTCCACCTTCACCACTGCTTCTGGGTTGATTTCGAACTGTTTTTTCAAATCTGTAAAAAAAAGTCACACTCAACAATTTGAAACTCATTTAAAATAAAACTTGTATTTTTGAGAATTTTTAGGCATTTTACAGCAAATAAAGTTGGGAATTATAAAATGTTGCCGATGATTGCGAGTAACGGATTCTTCGCAAATGAACGAACGAAAACCAGGCCTGCAAGCTTTTATTAAATCTTTACATACAAAATTCAGTTTTTCCAACTTGAAGCCGCGTGAACTTTACTGACTGATCGCTTCCGGCTTCTCAGCTTTAAAAACGGAACTGTTTTATGATAATTTTGCCAATTTAGAGGATTTAGAGAATCTTTCCAAACTTCCTAAAGAAAAAGTGGAGATTTTTTAATTGAAAATTACCAAAAAATTGAAATTTGCGCAATATGATTTCGAAAAACCCGTCGCAAAATTTTTCCTGCACTGTAAGAAGCATTTATGCTCTTCTCTGGACACTTTGGAGTTTCGTTTTGAGAATATGGGATATAAGAAACATTTTTCGAACAAAAAAAAACAGTGGACATTTTCTTCTTTGAAATATTACATTTTCTAAAAACCAGTTTGAAGAAAAAGTGCTCAAACGTTGTACAAGATAAATAAATAATAAAACCTTTATACAATTTTCTGGATAATCTAGGGGTTTTGAAGAGGATTTGAGAAACATGTTTAGCTACGAAAATAACAGTGAAGATTCTTTGGAAAACTGTGTTTTCGAAAAACGCACTTTGGAAAAATATATTTTCGAAAAATCAGTAAAAATACGGAAGCTTTTCTGGACAACTTTCAGTTCCTTGGGGATATGAAGAGATTTTAAGAAAGACTTTTAGCTCAAGAAAAAAAAACAGTGGAAATTCATGGGAAACAGCAAAAAAACTGTGGAAAATCTGTTCTTTCGAAAAATAGAAATGCACAAATTTTGTACCAGACTAACGTTTATACATTTTTCTCGACAATTTGGAGTTTCTTGGGGTTTAGAAGAGCATTTAAGGAACATTTCTAGCACCGATAAAAAACAGTAAAGATTCTTTGGCAAACTGTATTTTCAAAAAATGTTATTTCAAAAAATCAGTAAAATGGGCAAGCTTTGCACGAGGCAAATGACCGTTTGTACACTTTTCTGGACAACTTTGAGTGTCTTGGGAAAATTAAGAGGATTTGAGAGGGAAAAAACAGTGGACATTTTTTTTCAGACACCAAAAAAATTGAGGGGATTTTTTTCATCCGAAAAATAGGCACAAATGCACACAAATGAGTAAGCTTTGTAAATACAAGACAAATGAGTGTTTATACATTTTTTTGGACAATCGTGACCCCGTTCCATGGGGTTAAGAAGAAGAAAAAAAATACAGTGAAAATTATTTGGAAGGCAGCAAAAAACAGTAATTAATCTCTTTCAAAAATGTATTTTCACAAAACCCGGACAATCGGAAATTTGCGAGACTTTTAGCTAACAGTTTTTTTTTAATCAGCAATAATTACGTGGATTTTCCGCGTAAGTGGCAAATTTGGACGATTTTCGAAAAATCAAAGCAATTGCACTAAATGTAAGTATTGACTACTTAAAACAACCATTCTCTACTGTTACCTACAAACTTGAAGTGTTTTCAAACATATTTTTTAAATATCAAGAAAGAAATAGGCGGTTTTTTGCAAAGTGGCAAACCTCGAAAATCCGACACAAATTAGAAAGTTTAGACACTTTTCGGTACAAATCTGAGTATCTTGAAGGTACCTAGCAATTTAACGAAATTTGAAAATGTCAAAAGAGAAATGGAGGATTATTCGCCAAGCGACAAATTTTCGCAATTTATTTGCGAAAAACCCATACAATTAGAAACTTTCCAGGCGTACGACAATTTGTTTGCATTTTATCCACTTTTCTGTAGAAATTTAACGAACATTTTGAAAACTTCAAGAGAAAAATGAAGAACCTTCTCAAAATCACCAGTCGATTGAATTGCGGACATGACTTTTCTCACATAAAACCTACCAAAACCAGGTCGTTATAATCTCTGGGGTGTTTCCGCCCGGCTTACTACATACGGAAATAACTCCCGAAACTACTTTAAATTTCCATAAAGTCCTCCGTATGAAGATTTACAATGTTGCATTCGCGACTATTATTCCCCTGGAGGCGTATTTTCCCGAACAAGTGCATATAGAGTAATGCGGATTAAAAATACAGCCATCGCTCGGGAATTTCGGGGCGCTTAGAAGACGAAGAATGAGTGGAAAATACCGGCACGCAGTTGATGTTGAGCTGAAAGTGAAAAACGCAATGGAATGATTAAAATACCCAGCCTGGCCATTAATTAGATTTAATACAGACCGTTAAAGTTTTAATAATGCCGAAAATAGCGCCGATCCTTCGCGTTATGCATCATTGAGGCAAACCATTAGAAAAGTTGGGCGCCCGATGAAGACGAGGGGACCCGCAACTCCGGCCGGATAACCGATAAATTATGGAAGAGGATGCTAAAGTGAAAGCCGACGCCAAACATGCATGGAAACCAGGCCATTTTCCTTTTTAAAACTCAATGATTCTCATACAAAAAACGATTCTACAACGGGCTACTTTGAAGCTTTTTTGAAGCTGTTTTTCAACTGTATTCCTAGTTTATTATTGCTTGCCTTTGAAGGCTTTTCCAAATTAAGTTTTGGTTTAAACCGATTTGTGATATGCAGATATACTGGAACTGGATAATGAAGCTCGCATTCTTCGAATACATAAAAAGAACAAACGTTCAAATTTTCAAAATGAAATGAATTTTAGCAGAGGCTATAGGACGCATTTACTCACAAAAAAACGCTTGTTGCTTTTATAACAGTAACATTAACTTGAAAACGATCGTAATTCCCTCAGTTTGGTGCAAATCATTTAAGCCTATTTGCAACTTGGTTAAAAATAATCTCCTTATCTCTAGACACTTTGAAAATTTGGAAAAATTGGCGAATTTGGCAGTTTATTGCCCATTATTTAACGTGGTATGCGCTACTTACTTTATATTTGCTCTCGGACGTTTCATCATTTCTTCAAAAGCCGAAGTGTGAAGAACAAAAGTGTCTTTTTTCAGGCAAGGCTTGAAAACGGTAGATAATTAGGTTGATGAGACTGTCAAATAAAATCCCTTTCTTCTTTTCCAAAAATGTGAAAGTTTCCAAATCTCTTACAAAGTTGAGCAAAACATCAAGCAACTCGACGTTGAACGATATAGCGAACAGCACACAGAGTTTTCCTCATTCAAACCGTAAAAACTAACGTTTTTTTCTTTAGTTTTTATCCCCGTTTGGCGCAAATTAATTAATGCAATTTGCAATAATGAAAATAATCTTCACATTTTCCCTAGAAAATTTCGTAATTTCTTCGAACTTGTTCGAAAGTGTACGTAATTAATTAAGATACGGAAGAATGCGAAAGTGTACCTTTGTCTCATTCACGCCAGTGAAACTTCTTCATTTTTCTAAAGTTTCCAAACTGAATGCACGTTCTTTTCTGTCGAACCTAGCCAGCAAATTTCAGTTTTTTGAAAACAAAATATTTCGTTCTTTTTGACCGAATGCGTCGACAAAATTTTAAAATTTGACCGATTCTTCCAAAATAACTTGTCAAAATTTGCCCTTTTGAACAGAACTTCCACATTTTCTCCGGAGATTTCGGAAACTTTCTTCGAATCTGCCGGGAGTCTCAAGATAATCACGGTTGTGGAGACAAGTTGTTAAACGTTCGTTTATGCCTCACAAAGCTCGTAATTTTTCGAAAATAAATTGCCAAAACTTCTTTAACTTTCTGGATATTTCCAAGACACACAACCTTGTACATAAAAGTTCCTAGACGCACTTTTCGAACCAATTTTTAAACGAAATTTCCAAATTTGGCCGATTTTTTGAAAGAAAATGTCGAAGTTGGCCTTTTTAAAGTCGTACAAGGCTCAGAAATTTCATAATTGTGACATTTTTTCGAAAAAAACTTGCCGAAATTTGCAGGTTTGTTAAAAATCTGGTGTTTTGCTCCACATAATTTGAAAAACTTCTGCTATCTTTATTAGCAGGAAACCGAACAAAACACATATTGTCTTAGAGCTGAAAGCTGAGGAACCTGCAGCCTTCAGTCAGTAGAGTTTTTGCTGGCAATTTTGTCAGCAAGATCGAATGAGAGTTTCCCTAGGCCTGTCTCAGATGGCAAAACTTCCCAGCGGTGCCAGTTTCTCGCGGTATTCTTCTCCTAGCCAGCGAACCATAGGGAGAAGAAAACTTTGGAGTGTTTGCAAATCTGCTGCTTTATTTGCGATTTCACTTTTTTCACTTAGAACCTGTTGAAACAGCGATAAGATCAAGGTCGGATTGCTTACATTGAGCGCCAATTTAATAATTACCGATTAGAGTTGGACAGTTAACGGCATGATTAAGTGCAGTGGGTGCTGTTATAATTCAAATGACGGCCGCTCATGTCCGCCAGATACCAATCATCATTTTATCATTTTCCGCATATTTTTGCATAAATTCCAACCGGCCTGAATCATTAAACGTCTTCACTATCGCCACGATTTATCTGAACTTATTAAATTATGTTGCTTAGGTGCGTGTGTGGGTTCGCTGGGGAAAAAACGAACCCGAACCATTAATTATCATCTTCTGTGGTTGCGAACGTTGCGCCGCTGTTGCTGTTCGGTTGATCGTAAGCTGGAGAAAAAGCTGTCACGTTTGTGCCATTCTCCCGTTTGAGAATCGACAATGGCAAGAGGAGAATGGAGTGACAGGCAACAAGAGCGTCGCGCAATTTCCAGTCAGAACCGTTTGTTCACGCTCCTCCAGCAAATCCTTCTGATATGTGTATTTTTAGTTGGGCGGCAGCAAATAAGTTGTCAGACGACGCGAAATGATAAATGCTCGGAAAAGCTGCGACAATAGGTGTGCTTTTCCATTAGGTTTTTCCACTGGCCTGGAGAAAAAGGCGCTTTGAGCTGTTTATCAACGTCTCGGTCCGCTGGCCGTCAATTAA